AAAAAAAAAAAAAAAAAAAGATTTATTTATATCAAAGTCAATATCTTGTTTGGGATGTTGTGGTATATTTTTGTAAGATGCTACCATTAGGGGAAACCAGGATACATGAGCTCTCTATTATTTCTTATAACTGTATGTGAATGTATAATTATCTCAAAATAAAAAGTTAACTAAAAATAAACTTGGGAAGAATGCCACTCAAAAGATTCAGATATTGAAAGTCTGCTCTCTAAAGGGGATAGAAGGTATTGAGAGAAGGATTGTGATGTGGAGGACCAGCAAATTGGTGATGCTAGCTGGTTTTCAAAATGTAAGGAGAACTGTATAGTTTTGTGGCCAAAGAATGTCAATATATCTGAATTATATGGTATTTTGGTGCTGCAGACCGAGGATCTGGCCTGGAGGAAACATGGCTTTAGGTTCTGGGGGCCTGGATATTTCAGAGATAACTGTTGAGGTAGCTCAGTTATTGACATAATTGTTAATATACTTTTTAAAAAGTGCTCTTTTAAAAACATTTAGAGTGGGCATAGAAATCTTGGTTGAACATTTTTCTTTAGAATTCTAAAAACATTTTTCTTTTGTCAACTGGGTTTCAGTTTTTCCCTTGTGAAAGTCAGTCCCTTCACATTCTTTGTATCAAGTGATTTTTTTTCTTCTTGAGACTGTGTTTTGAGACAGAGTCTCACTCTTGTTGCCCAAGCTGGAATGGAGTGCAATGGTGGGATCTTGGTTCACTGCAACCTTCACCCTCTGAGGTCAAGTGATTCTCCTGCCTCAGACTCCTGAGTAGCTAGGATTACAGGTGCCTGCTACCAAGCCCGGCTAATTTTTGTATTTGTATTTTTATTTATTTTTTTGAGACAGAGTCTTGCTCTGTTGCCCACGTTGGAGTGCAGTGGTGCAGTCTCAGCTCACTACACCTCCTGGGTTCAAGTCTCCTGTCTGAGCCTCTCCAGTAGCTGGGATTACAGGTGCCCGCCACCATGGCCAGCTAATTTGTTTTGTATTTTTAGTAGAGACGGTGGAGGGGTTTCACCATATTGGCCAGGCTGGTCTCAAATTCCTGACCTCAGGCGATCCATCTGCCTCGGCCTCCTAAAGTGTTAGGATTACAGGTGTGAGCCACCATGCCCGGCTGATTGCATGTTCTTGGTAAGTAAAAACGTCCTATGTACTTGGACATCTAGACTGGGCAGATAATAGGAATGCTGGTTCTTTTTCTCCACAATTGCAAAAAAAAAAAAGGAGTACTTTTCTCTGAGACATAGAATTTCTTAATGTATCTCATTCATTGGTGAAACTACCTTTTCTTTTTCTCTCCCAGCTCTGTTTTAGAGATTCAGAATAATACTAGGATATGTTCAAATTCTATCCAGCCCTAGCACCCAAAACATGAGCCTTCCCTTGTCAAATCTTATTTTGTTTAGAAAGCAATTCTTGGGCTTTTAGTTGGGAGCAATCTTTGCATAATTTTATATTCTGAGATAAAGGGATTGGATTGACTGTTCTAGCTGTGTTCTATAGTTGGTTTTGCAAATACCTACTTTGATTGCCATCTAATAGTTCATTCCTACTCTTTGTAACTGCCATCTCTAAACTTTCTAGAATCCTGGCAGGATCAATGGCTTTTGTCTCCCCTTTAGCCTTTCTTTGTATCCGTTCTAGGTTGCTATTTTTTCTGCTCTTGTTTATTATCAATACAATCCAATTTACTTTCTGCTTTCCAGAAATTCATAAAAGTCTTCGATCTTCTGATGGTCATGCTTGTTTTCAGTATTGATGAGGATTTATTGTTTTTATTCTTTGCACTGTGTATTATTGCTGCAAATAAGCATGCACACTTAAGTCATCTTCAATCCCTAATCTCTCCTTCTTTCTTTTTTTTTGAGACAGTGTCTCTGTTGCCCAAGCTAGAGTGCAGCGGTGTGATCTCAGTTCACTGCAACGTCTGCCTCCTGGGTTCAAGCGATTCTCCTGCCTCAGCCTCCCAAGTAACTGGGATTATAGGCGTATGCCACCACGCCCGGCTAATTTTTTGTATTGTTAGTAATGACAGGGTTATGCCATGTTAGCCAGGATGGTCTTGATCTTCTGACCTCGTGTTCCACCTGCCTCGGCCTCCTAAAGTGCTGGGATTACAGGCGTGAGCCACTGCACCTGGCCCTCAATCCCTAATCTCTTAATAATGGCCTTTTCCTGAGCGGGCGCTGTAGCTCACACCTGTAATCCCAGCACTTTGGGAGGCTGAGGTAGGCAGATCACGAGGTCAGAAGATCAAGACCATTCGGGCCAATATAGTGAAACCCCATCTCTACTAAAAATACCAAAAAAAAAAAAAAAAAAAAAAAAGCTGGGTGTGATGACGCACGCCTGTAGTCCCAGCTACTGGGGAGGCTGAGGAAGCAGAATTGCTTGAACCCAGGAGGTGGAGATTGCAGTGAGCTGAGATCGCGCCATTGCACTACTGCCTGGGTGACAGTGCGAGACTCCATCTCAAAAGCAAAACAAAAGAAAAATCATGGTCTTTTCCTCAGAAATTACAAAAACAAATTTAGTAGTTTGGTGTTTATTCTCTTAGACTTTTGTCATGTACCTGCAAATGTGAAAAACAATATATAATTTAAAATATATAATTGATGTTTTAAAAAATGCATATTCACAGTGTTTTACAACTTGTCTTTTTTTAGTAGAAACATCATGGGCAGCCTTCTGTTTACCAGAGTGTTAGCTCCATCAGGACAGAGTTGTCGTTAAATTTATTGCTGTATGTCCCTTCCTAAAACAGTGCCTGGCTCAGAGGAAGTACTCAGATAATTATCAACTAACTAAGTGAATATTACTGAGACTGGGAATTTTGAAAGGGAAGAGTTGTTTTTTCCTAGACATAGGAAGTTAGCATGCTCTGAAGGGTAAAATAGGCCAGAGGATGACAAGTGAAAGTGACACCAAGGAGAAACTTATTTCCTTCTTCTGGGAGTTTTAGGCTAGTTTACATTGTTAGAAGATCCAGGATCTGAAAGCTTAGACTTTTTTTTTTTTGCAAGGCAGAGTCTAGCTTTGTCACCCAGTGTGGAGTGCAATAGCACTATCTTGGCTCACTGCAACCTCTGTGTCCCAGATTCAGGCAATTCTCCTGCCTCAGCCTACTGAGTAGCTGGTACTACAGATGCCCACCACTGCTCCCAACTAATTTTTGTATTTTTAGTAGAGACAGGATTTCAGCATGTTGGCCAGGATGGTCTCAATCTCTTGACCTCATGATTCACCTCCCTCTCCCTCCCAAAGTGCTGGGATTACAGGCATGAGCCATTGCACCCAGCAGCTTAGACTTTTAATGTAAGCCAACAGCTGTTTTAAGTTCTTTTTTTGAGAACGGAGTCTTGCTGTGTCCCCCAGGCTGGAGTGCAGTGGCACGATCTTAGCTCACTTCAACCTCTGTCTTTTGGGTTCAAGCGATTCTCCTGTGTCAGCCTCCCAAGTAGCTAGGACTATAGGCGTGTGCCACCATACCCGGCTAATTTTTGCATTTTTAGTAGAGATGGGGTCTCGCCATGTTCAAGCTGATCTTGAACTCTTGGCCTCAGGTGATCTGCCCACCTTAGTCTCCCAAAGTGCTGGGATTACAGGCATGAACCACCATACACGGCCTAGTTGTTTTAAGTTCTATAGGAGGGGTAGACTTTTTAACAGTTGCTGAATATTAGCATGAATTTGACATGAAAACTGGGCCATGTGGGGATAAGGATAGAGTATAGAGATTAGGTAAGAAACTATGTTATTATCATTTTGAGGTAAAAACATGCAGAATAAGGAAGATTATTGATTCTGAAAATCAAAAGACTTTGGTTCAATTGATTGATTGATTGATTGAGATGGAGTCTTGCTATTGTCGTCCAGGCTAGAGTGCAGTGGTGTGATCTTGGCTCACTGCAACCGCCCTGCCTCCTGGGTTCAGATGAATCTCCTGCCTCAGCCTCCTGAGTAGCTGGGATTATGGGCACCTACAACCATGCCAGGCTAATTGGTTGTATTTATAGTTGTGAAATCATAGGCAAATGCTTTCACATCTGTAGGCCTTTGTTTTTATTAGTAAAATGAATCATTGTGAAAGATAATGGTTAAGACTATTCAAACTCTAAAAGAGTCTCTAATTTTTATTCAACTTTGTGGTTTTCTTTAGTCTTAAATTTATTGGGCCAAAATAATACTCACTTGATTTTCTTTTACAGTTTGGCTGTTAAACAAGTAATTGAGCATAAAAGCTTGATACTACTTACTTGCAACACTGTTTTAAGACATTTAATTTAAAAGTGATAGAAAATTTTTTATATAAATTACCGATTTCTTCCTTCAGGAATCAATGTCTGTGCCTGAAGGGTCATTAAATCAGCTATGTTCTTCAGAAGAACCAGAACAAGAAGAACTTGATTTTTTGTTTGATGAAGAGATTGAACAAATAGGACGAAAAAACACATTTACTGATTGGTCTGATAATGATTCAGATTATGAAATTGATGACCAAGACTTAAATAAGATTTTGATTGTAACTCAGACACCACCTTATGTGAAAAAACATCCTGGAGGAGATCGAACAGGCAACCACATGTCTCGGGCAAAAATCACATCTGAGCTTGCTAGAGTTATCAATGATGGCTTATATTATTATGAACAGGATCTATGGATGGAAGAAGATGAAAACAAACACACAGCCATAAAGGTAATTGTTTCTGGCCAACATCTTTCTGCTGATACTTTATTTTGATTGTATGTTGCTATTTATGCTCTTAAACTTGAGGCTTTATTTTATGAAATGTTGAATATAAACATATTTAACTGGAAAAATTCCTGGAAATATACCTGATAATTACCACCTGAGGAATCATTTTATTTTACGAAAGTAACAGTATAATGAATACTATAATTGTAAAAAATTAGCACTCACTGAGTTAAACCCTTGCTTTTCTTTTTTTTTTTTTTTAGGTGAAAATGCTAAGAACGCCCTTTCTCATATGAAAGAATAAAAACAAGTTACTATGGACAGGCTTAATTCATATGCTCATTACTTACCTGGCTATCACCCCAACTGTATGAGCCAGTGGCTTTAGAGAACACTTACTTTTCTTGCCCCTTTCTGTTTTCCCCGCTTAGTCTATGATGCATGATCCAGGGTTGTGGACAAACTGTAGATGACTTAACTGGATGATTGTCTCTGTTGATCCAGTCATTACTGTGGTGTTAGGGATACTTTTTACAACCTTGTTCTAAGTTTTTATCTTCTTGCATTTCATTCACCCCAGATCCTGGTCCCTATCCTAGTTTTTAAAGTAAAATAGAGAGCCAGAATAGTTTACTAGGTATCTGTACTACTTCAATATGAATTATAATGGTACAAGTATGGGAATAAAAGGGATCTTTTTCAGCCATTAAGTTTATCAGAAAAGCCCCAATAGTTAAATTTTGTTTTCAGGACAAGGTATAATAAGGGAAAGTCATATAACATTATATGCCAAATAGGAAACTGATCTTGGTTGGAAATAAAGTTGTAGGAAGAAAAACTGGCCAACTAGTGGCTGAGTAGTGGGTACTGCCGGTCGATGGGGTTTCATGTCATCGGCAAGAAGTGTACTGGCCTTCTTGGCCCCTCATTTCTTTTCTTCCTGGAATCTGCAGTACTGCTTAGCCTTCTGTAATTACTGCCTTCTTGGAGAACCCGCCTCAGGCTATGATAGCTTGTTATGTGACGTAGAGCCTGAGCAGTTCCCTGCTTGTCCTACTGCTGTGGGAAAGGAAGCCTGTTTTTATAATGCTTCTCAGTTGAAAGTCTTTTCTAGTGTAAGGATTGCTATTTTACTTGTAACAGAACAGAGATACCAGTAAATTCTACCAATAATCAGTTAAAATTCTTCTCCCATTCTCTACCCCTTTACCCAGCTTTGTTTTTCACTGTAGGATGTATCAGTATCTATAATGCTATATATTTTACTTACCTTTATTCTCTCGAAGAAAAACCATGGATGTAATACCATTGATGATAGGATTTTTTGGTCTATTTTGTTTATTACTTTTGTATATCTAGTGCTAGAATAGTTGCTGGCACAAAGAAATGTTCAATTTGTATTTCTTCAAGTGAATAAATTATGGAGTAAACATTATGCACTAACTAAAGGAACCTAATCACTGTATATAATGCTGATTCTGTGGGAAATGTTTTCAGTCTTCCAAGTAACAAATTTGTAAGCCGTCTTGAGAAACATGCCATTTGTAGGTGATTATTTCCTCAAAGTGTAGACAACAATAATTAAAAGCCATGTATTGAGTTCTTTAGGCATGTGCTGATCTTATTCAGTAAATATTAATCAAAGGAAAGTAATTTTGACTGTATAACTTTAACCATTATAATTGCAAATATATCTTACGTTGACCTGATTCTTAGGTACATTCTCATCATTTAACTCATTCTCTTTGGTTGTGATTGTGTGCCCTACATGTCGTTTCTCATTAGACTGGGACTTTTCCTGTGGGTCTGCTTAAAGGGAGAGAAATCAGTCATTTAACATATACCATTGAATGCTTACTATGTGCCAGACACTGCTAGAAACTGGGCACAGAGTGAGAAGATAAATAATAGGGTTTCTATATGCCTAAAACCTATAGATAATTGGGGAAACAGACATAAAAATAAACCCACAATAAGTACTTAATCACAAATTACAATAAATATTCTTTTTTAAATTATTATTGTATTTTAGGTTTTGTGGTATGTGTGAAGAACATGTAAGATTGTTGCATAGGTACACACATGGCAGTGTGGTTTGCTGCCTTCCTCCCCATCACCTGTATCTGGCATTTCTCCCCCTGTTATCCCTCCCCAACTCCCTACCCTCCGCTGTCCCTCCGCTATTTCCCCCCAACAGACCCCAGTGTGTGATGCTCCCCTCCCTGTGTCCATGTGTTCTCATTGTTCAACACCCACCTATGAGTGAGAACATGCGGTGTTTGATTTTCTGTTCTTGTGTCAGTTTGCTGAGAATGATGATTTCTAGGTTCATCCATATTCCTACAAAGGACACAAACTCATCATTTTTGATGGCTGCATAGTATTCCATGGTGTATATGTGCCACATTTTCCTTGTCCAGTGTATCATTGATGGGTATTTGGGTTGGTTCCAAGTCTTTGCTATTGTGAACAGTACTACAGTGAACATTCGTGTGCATGTGTCCTTTAATAGAACGATTTATAATCCTTTGGATATATACCCAGTAATGGGATTGCTGGGTCAAATGGAATATCTATTTCTAGATCCTTGAGGAATCGCCACACTGTCTTCCACAATGGTCGAACTAATATACACTCCCACCAACAGTGTAAAAATGTTCCTATTTCTCCACATCCTCTCCAGCATCTGTTGTCTCCAGAGTTTTTAATGATCACCATTCTAACTGGCGTGAGATGGTATCTCAATGTAGTTTTGATTTGCATTTCTCTAATGACCAGTGATGATGAGCATTTTTTCATATGTTTGTTGGCCTCATATATGTCTTCTTTTGTAAAGTGTCTGTTCATCTCCTTCGCCCACTTTTGAATGGGCTTGTTTTTTTTTTTTCTTGTAAATCTGTTTTAGTTCTTTGTAGATTCTGGATATTAGCCCCTCAGTCAGCTGGGCAGATTGCAAAAATTTTTTCCCATTCTGTTGGTTGCCAATTCACTCTAATGACTGTTTCTTTTGCTGGGCAGAAGCTGTGGAGTTTGATTAGGTTCCATTTGTCTATTTTGTTTTTTGTTGCCAGCGCTTTTGGTGTTTTAGTCATGAAGTCTTTGCCTATGCCTATGTCCTGAATGGTTTAGCCTAGGTTTTCTTCTAAGGTTTTTATGATATTAGGTCTTATGTTTAAGTCTTTAATCCATCTGGAGTTAATTTTAGTATAAGGTGTCAGGAAGGGGTCCAGTTTTCTGCTTTCTGCACATGGCTAGCCAGTTTTCCCAACACCATTTATTAAACAGGGAATCCTTTCCCCATTGCTTGTTTTTGTGAGGTTTGTCAAAGATCAGATTGTTGTAGATGTGTGGCATTGCCTCTGAGGCCTCTGTTCTGTTCCATTGGTCTATATCTCCGTTTTGGTACCAGTACCATGTTTTTTTGATTACTGTAGCCTTGTAGTATAGTTTGAAGTTTGGTAGCGTGATGCCTCCCGCTTTGTTCTTTTTGCTTAGAATTGACTTGGCTATGTGGGCTCCCTTTTGGTTCTATATGAAGTTTAAGATGATTTTTCCCAGTTCTGTGAAGAAGGTCATTGGTAGCTTGATGGAGATAGCATTGAATCTGTAAATTACTTTAGGCAGTATGGCCATTTTCACGATATTGATTCTTCCTAACCATGAGCATGGAATGTTTCTCCATCTGTTTGTGTCCTTTCTTATTTCGTTAAGCAGTGGTTTGTAGTTCTCCTTGAAGAGGTCCTTAAATCCTTTGTTAGTTCTATTCCTAGGTATTTTATTCTCTTTGTAGCAATTGTGAATGGCAGCTCGTTGTTGATTTGGCTCTCTTTCAGTCTGTTATTGGTGTATAGGAATGCTTGTGGTTTCTGCACATTGATTTTGTATCCTGAGACTTTGCTGAAGTTGCTTATCAGCTTCAGCAGATTTTTGTCTGAGACAATGGGGTCTTCTAAATATACAATCATGTCCTCTGCAAATAGAGACAATTTGATTTCCTCCTTTTCTAATTGAATGCCCTTTATTTCTTTTTCTTACCTGATTATTCTGGCTAGAACTCCCAATACTATATTGAATAGGAGTGGTGAGAGGGCATCCTTGTCTAGTGCCAGATTTCAAAGGGAATGCTTCCAGTTTTTGCCCATTCAGTATGATATTGGCTGTGGGTTATAATAAGTATTCTAAAAGAAAAAAAACAGAAAGCTATTTCATTGAGTAGTCAGGGAAGGCCTCTGAGAAAGTCAGATAGTGAAATCTGAAGTGGAAGTAGGATATAACCAAGCAAAGAATAGGGAAACAGTATTCCAGGAAAAGGAAACAGTAAATGTCAAGGATCTTAGGCAATAAAGAATTTGGCACATTTGAGTAACTGGAAAAAAAGGTCAGTTTGCCTATGGTATTATATAAAAGGTTAATTATAGTTGAATAGACAGGAGTCAGATCATTTATGTGCCATGTTAAATAATGTGGAATTTGTCTAAAGTTCAAATGCAGTATCTTAGTTTTGCAAAGGCAGTGTGACATGATCTAATTTTTATTTTTGGTAGATCACTCTGGTTGCTTTGGCACAGAATGGATTGTACGGGGACAAGAGTGGGCAGAGGAAATCCAGTTAAGAGGCCATCCATACAGAATATGAAGTGGTAGGCTAAGACAAATAGGTGACAGAGGAAATATAGAAGTGAGAAGACTATCTCATCTGAGCCTTGAGGGATGATTATATAGGAGTTGTATAGGAAAGTGTGTTCTTGTAGAAGTCAAAAGCTGGCTCCAAGAGAAGAGAATAATCAGGTGTGTCAGCAACTTTATAGGTTGAATTAGATAAGAATGAAAAGTATGCTGGGTGCGGTGGCTCACGCCTGTAATGCAAGCACTTTGGAGGCCAAGGTGGGCGGATCACCTGAGGTCGGGAGTTCAAGACCAGCCTAACCAACATGGTGAAACCCCGCCTTAAAAAAAAAAAAAAAGAATGAAAAGTATATCATATTGATAGGGCAATTTAG